GCTGCTTGGGGCTCCTGCTGCTGGTTGCTGCTGCTGGGCTCCTGTTAAGGCGTTGAATGGGTATATGTCTATATAAATATAATGGAATAGAATAGAATAGAATAGAATATAATATAATATAATATAGAGAGAGAGAGCACCTTATATATCAAGGTAACCTCATCTTTCTATGTAACCTCACCACAGTCGTCTTTATGTCCGGTTGAAAACCCTAAACCCAAAACCCAAAGCCCTATAAACCCTAAACCCTATAAACCCTAAACCCAAAACCCTAACCCCAAAACCCTTTTCCGTTCATTCAGCCTGGCATAGGACTCCTGGGACCTACGCCTGCGCATCCTCGCCCGAAAGCTTGGGGTGTCGGAAGACGTCATCCAAGAAGCTCGGGTTCCCCAGTGGGTTTAGGGTTTAGGGGTTTAGGGTTTGGGGGTTTAGGGTTTGGGGCTTGGGGCTTCGGGTTAGTACCCTTTTGCCCTTTTATTTCTTTTTGGTGTTTATCACCCTCATATTAACACCACATATAGTAGGAAAAAGGGCACCCTTCTTATTATCGTGGGGGCTACTGGGGGCCCTAAACCCTCAACCCTAAACCCCCTATAAACCCAGGGACTATTACTATTATTATTATTATTATTACTACTATGACTATTACTACTATTATTAGTATTATTGTTCTTATTATTATTATTACTACTACTACTATTAATAGTATTATTGTTATTATTATTATTGGGGCTACTGGGGGACCGAGGAGGCCTGGCGTGGCTTGGGGCGCCAGATGATCCGCTTGGGCCGAGAGGCCCTGGAGTCGGGGCTCCTGACGGAGGACCTGGGAGAGCAGAAGGTTGCGACGAGAATCCAGGGCTTATAGGGGTTAGGGTTTAGGGGCTTATAGGGTTTAGGGTTTTAGGGTTTATAAGGTTTAGGTTTTAGGGTTTATAGGGTTTAGGTTTTAGGGTTTAGGGTTTAGGGTAGTAGTCATTCTGTCAAATAGCGATGTAAGAAAGGAAGCTACAAGATTGTGCTTAGTGGAATTTGGGTACAACATGAAATTACGGCATTATAGACGGTTTCGCTAGAATTCGAGGGCTCCGTTTACGGAGGACTTCGTGGAGGCCATTCCTGGAGAGCTCTGCATCGGTCTGCCGGCAAGAGCCATGTTAGAGGCGGTGGAGCGCTCGCCCAGAGGGGAGCTGCAGCTCGTGGGAGGCTTGAGGATACTGGAGCATCAGATCCCAAAGCTGAAGTTTGCGGAGAAGGTGTGGGGCCACTTCCGGCAAGCTCAAGATGCACGGATGCGGGTCCAAATAGGTGCAGATGTGCATCGGCTGCTGTGCGCTGCCCTCTTGGCTGGTGGTGGAGATCCGGATGCTCTTCCTGCAGGTTTGGCAGAGGCAATGAGGAGGTATGAGGAGCTGCCGAAATCAGCCTATGACGCTTGCCAAGCGATTGTTCGGCTGCTTATCGGCTTTGGTTTGGAGTGTGGTAGTCAACCAGAGTTTAGGGAGAAGTTGGAATTGGTGATCCAATCGATGACGCAAGTGGATTCGGAAGAGCTCGAGCAGTACTTGTACGCTGTGCCCTTTGCGGACGATGACTTGGAGGCAGGCGGATCGGAATCGTCGGAAGGTACCGACAGCACCTAGCATCTGGAGATGCTCAACGGTTACGCTGCATTTGTTGGCCTGTTCTCTTCAGCTAGGGCGTCGCGTTTCGGAAACAATCTTGGCAACAACGCAGCAATCCCAGGCAGTCTGCCTCATTCTACACCAGCCTTCTTTCCTTCCGACCCCGGCTTTGCTCTACGTGTCCTGAGTCTTCTTTCGATGTTTTTGGGAGACGGGTTCTGGTGCAGCGTACCAACTTGTAGGCTTAGCAAGTAACGCATTGGTTTTCCCCGGCAATATGCACACCGTGGTAAAGTACACCCGGAAATCACACACATGTTTGTACGATGTTGTTCTGACGAGCCGGGATTTACCCCCGTACCCCATGCCTCAAAGCTTCTGAAGTTCTTCTGAAGCTCTCATTAGAAATACTACACACGGCCCGGAAAACCCTGAATCCCGACACTCCAGAAGCACATCGAAACCCTAATTACACCCCCAAAGTTTCTCTCGAAAACGGTCACCCAACCTGCATGGCTGATGCACGGAGACCCCTAAACCCCTAAACCCAAAGCTCGCCAAGCAGATGCCCAGATTGCATTCCAAAAGACCAGCCCTGAGTTCTTCCAGATAAGGGCTTCGGGCCTTTTAGCAGTAGGCCTGAAACCCAAAACCCCTAAACCCCTAAACCGTAAACCCCTAAACCCTAAACCCTTGAACTCTAAACCTTATAAAACCCTAAACCCTAAACCGTCAACCCCCCAAGAGTGTAAGCTGAAGGAACCTTACAAGACTGACTGAATCCGTTGGATTGACTTCAATATAGCCATATATGCAGAGACGAGAGTACTTCTAAATGCATCTGTAAAGATCGCTAACAGCCTACAGGGACCCTTCCGTCCAACAAAACTGGGTCCTTGTTGGATACAATTTGACATGTTTGTTATAATACAAACCCCATAATGATTAAAAATGATCATTTTTTTAATATAGCACCCCCCAAAAAAATAAAATAAAATAAGAACCAGTTATAATTGCCAGGAATGTTCTACATGGGCCGCGTGCGGAGGTCTTTGAGAGCAGCTTTCCACCGGAAGCACCCAGGCGCTTCCGTCTGCTCTTTTTATGGGTTTCTGCTCTTTTTATGGATTTCTGCTCTTTTTATGGGTTTCTGCTCTTTCTATGGGTTTCTGCTCTTTTTATGGGTTTCAGGGTTTGGGGTTTTAGGGTTTCAGGGTTTTAGGGTTTATCGGGTTTTCAGGGCCTGATTAGCTTTTAGGGTTTAAGGTTTTGGGGTTTTAGGGTTTTAGGGTTTTGGGGTTTAGGGGTTTTATGGCTTTAGGGTTTTAGCGTTTTAGGGTTTTGGGGTTTAGGGTTTTAGGGTTTTGGGGTTTTAGGGTGTATTGTAGGGTTTAGGGCCTAATTAGGGTTTTAGGGTTTGGGGCTTTAGGGTTTAGGGCCTAATTAGGGTTTTACGGTTCTAGGGTTTAGGGTTTTGGGGCTTTAGGCTTTTAGGGTTTAGGGTTTTAGGGTTTAGGGTTTTGGGGTTTTAGGCTTCAGGGTTGAGGGTTTCGGGTTTAGGGTTTTGGGGTTTGAGGCTTTAGGGATTTAGGGTTTAGGGTTTTAGGGTTTTGGGTGTAGGGTTGAGGGTTCAGGGTTGTAGGGTTTAGATAGGCTTGTTTCATACGAGCCTTGGTCGTTTTTTTCTTAATTCCTTTCAAGGGTGGTTAGTCCGTTAGGAGTTTCTGGGGGCAGGGCTTTCAGGGTTTAGGGTGGTCTTGTTTTCTTTTTGGGCCCCATTGTGTGTGTGCCTTGCCAGTTCAACTTCCCAAGCACCCCGAATGTGTCCCGGATGCGTCTGCGTGTGCTGTGAACTGTTAAACCCCACTCGAAACCCCGAAACCCTAAACCCGGAACTCCCTAAATCCTCAACCCCTGGATCCTAAACTATACGGTTGCCGTACGATTTTGGGTTTTGGACCATTGGAGTCCCCCCTCTAACTTTGGAAAGCTCCAGATGCCTCAAATCCTAGTCTCCCCTGCATGAGGGCCCAAACTCAATCCTTAACCCAAGCCCGAAACCCCCTTAACTGCCAGGTGAGTGCATGCCAGCTGCTCCACTTCGGGCTTTGGGCTACACCTCTGCCGGGGGCTCTTTCGCCAAGATCGGTGGCGACAATAAGCCAATGAGCTCGTTAATGAAGAGCCTCGGACCGGATCAAGTCCGGTGGTGCGCCCAATAGTTAGAAGATTGGTAAAGTAGGTAGTCTTTCTTGCGGGTATTGTCCGGGGTTCTACAAGGGTCCACAAGGGTGCAGGTTTAGAGTCTGTGTGTTTTGGTTGGACTGTGGGATTGTGGCATATTGTGGCTGAGACGAACAGGTCGCCTGCAGGTCATGTAGGGTTTTCAACATTCAGCCAGTTTCGTGCACGGTGGCCTTAGTATGCCCTCAGAATCACCACCATACCAGATTGTGCCACACTATACCATGCTATGCTATGCTCCTTACTATGCTCTACTATACCATGCTACACTGTACTTACTGGCAGCCAGTTTGGCACTACATGGGTAGTTCTCCAAATCAGGGTACCCTTTCAGGTCTAGTACTGCATCCTTATGAGAAGGACCCAAAGAAGGACCCTAATTTAGAGAAATACCCCCAAGATAGTTTACTGTATCCATGGCAAGGCCATGCTCAGGAGGTCGTGTTTTACTCATATAGGGGCTTTTGTAATAATGACCTATACTATTTTCGGGGTCCCTTACTATACGTATAGTAGAATATAGCCCCCAGAAGCCTATTCTAATGAGTAAGGCCCCCTACATTACGCATAGAATCCTCCAACTTGCATCCTTCGTCTTCGAGCAAGACTCACCCCGAAGCCCAGTTATAGGAATTATAGGGTTTAGGACTTTGAGTTTGGGATTTATAGGGGGTATAGGCGCAGAAGTGTAGATAGTTATGCTGTTTATGTTGAGCTTCTCATCTGGGATTCTAATCAGGGCACATTCCCCAGGATCGGCTATGCTACTGGCACTGGCAATGTCTACTGCAACAAGATTGTGCTCCCAGGCTTTATCTGAAACAGGTGCTGTGAGTGTGAGCGCCTCTCTGTCTGTGTGTGTGTGTGCGTGCATGTGTGCGTGCGTTCGAGCGTTCGTTTCTCTGTGTTCGTGTGCCTCTGTGTGTGTGTGTGTCTGTCTGTCTCTGTGTGTCTGTCTGTTTGTTTGTCTGCCTCCCTGCCTCCCTGCCTGCCTGCCTGCCTGCCTGCCTGCCTTCCTGGCTGTCTGGCTGTCTGTCTTTGTCTCTGTCTATCTCTCTCTCTCTCTCTCACTCTCTCTGTGTCAGAGAGTGTGTGTGTGTGTGTTTATTTGTGTGTCTCTGTGTGTGTGTGTGTCTGTTTTTGTCTGTCTGCCTGTCTGCCTGTCTGCCTGCCTGTCTGTCTGAAAGTTTCAGGAATCTTGCAGCAAATGAGCCTTTATGCGGCATGCGGACTGCAAGTAAGAGCAGCATCAGCAGCGCTTATACACAGAAACCCCCAAACAGAGCCCGGCTGACCCGCGTAGTCGTAAGGCTGATGGACGAAGCGCACAATCTGGTCCGCAGCCAGACACAGCAACTCGGACTGAAGACCCTAAACGCTAAATCCTAAACCCTAAACCCTGAACCCTAAATCCTAAACCCTGAACCCTGGGCCCTAAACCCTAATCTAAACCCTCCCCCAAAGATGCCCCTTGCAGGAACCTTTTGGCCCTGGTATCCCTTCTTCAATGTTTCGCTTCCTCATCTCACCGAGACCTTCCGGGCGGTCCTCGGTTTAAGGGTAACGGGATTGATCTAAAACGCTCTGATCGAATTTTGCAGCTAAGCCCCAAATGCGCCACGCTGAACGCCAGGTGCGTCATGCTGCATGTCGGATCGGATTGCTATTCTCATTACTTTTTTGCAAAAAGCAACCTTCCAAAGAAAGAAATGATCTGCTTAGCAAGGCAGACTCGCGAGGTTTGATTTGGCGTAGGCTTGGGGGCTTCAGGCTTTTGGGTTCGGCCGTTTTAGGCCGCGGGTCCCTAAACCCTAAATCCTAAACAAGTCTTGGTCTTCTCTGTTAGCAGAGTTCAAGGTTTGCCGACTTCCGTTGCAGGATTTGTAACTGCTTTCTTGACAATTTACCCATAACCTTATTCCCTATAGGATTCCTGATTGGAGCTATAGTTAAATTATATACCCCGAAACCCAAAGCCCCTAAATGAGCTCGGACAATACTTGTGGCTTTGGCGTCTGCAGCTTTTTCAGTCACACCTCTGCCAAAAGCCCAAGGGCGCAGCACCTCCAACCTGGGAGCACGTTCCTGAGCCCACAGAGGCCTCATTAAGCAACATCTTCCTCCTTGGAGGATGCTGGAGCAATGTTCTCCAATGTGCAGGGTGAATTAGCTAATATTCATTTCGTTCATATTTAGATTTAGAGGATTTCGACTAAGGAAGACAACGGATTAAGCCACCGATAAACCATTCTCCCTGCAGCATGTATTAAGGTTTAGAATACAGAGATCCCACTGCAAGAGTCCCCTGGAAAAAGCACCCTGAACCCGAGACCATACGTGAAATCTGGGATCCCTGAGCCCCTAAACCCGAAGAGACCGTCACCCCGACTTTAAAAAACCTAAACCCTAAACCCCTATAAACCCTGAGCCCTACAACCCTAAACCCTACAAACCCTAAACTCTAAATCCCAAAACCCTAAATCCCGAAGCCCCTAAACCCTAAATCCCTAGACCCTAAAACCCTAAACCCCCAAAACCCTAAAACCCTAAAACCCCAAAACCCCTAAAACCCCCAACCCAAACTCTCTAAACCCCTAAACCCTAAACTTCACCCTAAACCCTAAAACCCTAGACCCTATAAACTTCACCCTATGGGAAACCCAGGTACGCGGAGCAGTTGCAGCGCTTGCGGCGATTGCTCTACGAGGCCGGGGCTCCAGCTGGGACTTGCAGTTTAGGGTTTAATATAGACTTTAATTAGGGTTTTAGGGTTTTAAGGATTGAGGGTTTAGGGTTTAATGTATAGACTTTAATTAGGGTTTAGAGTTTAGGGATTTAGGGTTTAGGGTTTAGGGTGTATATAGGCCGGGTTTATAGCATCAGAACCTTGCTTTTTGTGGCAGGGTCCCTATAAATCCCATGCTAGGGCCAGGGTTATCGTAAGAACCTGTAAAAAAAGTGGGTTTTGGTTGGTTGAGGTAGATGTATATAGGCCGGGTTTATAGGGTTTAGGGCTTCTAGGGCTTATAGGGTTGAGGGTGTATTTTGGGTTTATGGGGTTGAAGGTTTGGGGTTTAGCGTGTACATAGGGCTTATAGGGTTTAGGGTTTAGGCATGTTTAGGCGAATTGTTGGTTTGGCTTGTTTTCCCTTGACGGTCGCAAGGCTTTAATGGAGATTTCTAGAGGACATACATGCTGCATACATACACATGTGCACCCACCTCTACATTCAGCGTCAAAAGCCTCCATGTAACCCTATGAAATCAGACCAACCCCTACACACCCTCATACACCCCCATTAACAAACCCGTATCACACCCAACAGCCAGAAAACATCCTTCACTGCAGGCTCGTAGCTTGGTTTTGGCGGGCTTCACCGGCACACCGATCCTCTCGGAGCCCAGCGAGGGGCGACAGCTCCTGGGCATCAACTCTTGTTCATATTATGATATATATATGTATTTATTTATTTTTTTATCTATATTTTTATTTATATTTATATATTTATGTATAATGTATGTTGCATGCAATTACAATATTTCTGCGCCCGCATATACACGCGGGTTGCGGAGAACCGAGAGGGGGGGCAGGGCGGCAGAAAAATTATGCAGCTGGACCCGCCACGTTTCGCGCTCAAGCGCTAACCGGCTTGCCACGGACAATTCTTTTAAGAATCCTAGAGATGTTCAAGCTCCTCGAAGTTTGACACGTCTGAACTGCCTAGGGATCCTGAAATCTAAGCCCAACTTTGAAAGCCCGATCGTTCCGATCCTAAAGACATCAAACGTCCAACACGATCACTATACTACCTATAGCCTCCATCATAATTCCTCTCTTTGGGCGAGCAAAATCATCGTCGAGGCTCCTGGACATCATCAAGGGCGTCATGGCCCCTGATGGAGACGAAGGATATCTCTCCTCCTTTCCGATGCATCTCGCAGAAACCTCGTCTCGTTTTTTGGTTTTCCTAAGGTTGTTGTGCGGAGGTGAGAGGTCAAGTTCTGGTTTATGGGTTCAGGGTTGCGCATTCTGGAGTGGTTGCCTCCTTAGGCTTTGGGTTTCTGTATTTGATCATCCGTTTTCGTTTGGGGTTTGTGGACTCAGGGTGTCATGGATTGATTGGTGGCTACCTGGCACAGAGTTCCGTGCTCTCGCGTTATGGACCCGCCCCGACCCTCAACGGCAGTATCCTTATAGCTAACTAATATAGACATCATACAAAAACCCGAAGTGAGCTGCCCTCCCCCAAGCTCCAAAATAGGCAGGCTTATCACCAGTTCAGGGGTCTGGGGTTCAGGGATTTGGGGGTTTCGGGTTCGGGGTTGTGGGTGTGGGGGTGAGGGGATCGAAACCCAGAATTTGGAGCTCTAGGGTTTGCATGAAGAAAGCCCTAACCACCCTTTTCTTGGCATGATGGGCTGAACTAGTCTTATTAGCATTATACTTCTTATGAGTCTTATTGTTGTTATTATTGGTTATTGTTATGGTTGTTATTATTATTGTTGTTGTTATTATTGCATACAGCTTCGCACATCCGAAAACAAGACAAGGCGGCCGCAGCCGCTGTTTCCCGTGTCTCTCCCCCGGGGACTGCCTGACGGCGTCCTGACGCTGGCACGACGACGGCAGCTGATTCGGAAGGCTACTGAATTCCAAAACGTGGGAGCTAGCGCCGAGGGTTCTAGGTTTAGGGTTTTGGGGTTTGGAAGTAGGCTTGGGGATTTTTGGGGATTATTCTAGGATTCTGGTGTTGGCTTCCGAACTCGGATTATTCTAGGATTCTAGCTTTGGTTTTCGAATTCGGTGTTTCGGGGTGATTCGAGGACTCGGGGTGTTCGGCGTGAAGGCTCCCCGGGGGACAACCGAAACCAAGAAGAGCCAAGCCCCAGTGGCGACCCGCAACCCTGAAAACCTAAAACCCCCTATCCCCCAAAACCCTAAAACCATCTAAAGCCCTAAACCCCTACACCCTAAAACCCTAAAGCCCTAAAGCCCTAAAGCCCTAAACCCTAAACCTCCAAGACCCCGAACCCTCCAAATTGGGGTCCCAAACAACATCCCTCAACATGAGAGTTTCCGAATATTTTTGGGTCCTTTTAACAAGGATCCTACTGCTGAAGGTACTCTATTAGGGTCCCCTTTTTTCGGAAACCCCCACATGAATGCTTTACTGAAGATCCCACGCCCCCTCCTGAGCCTACTGGCTTTAGGCGAAGAAGCAAAGGGCTCTTCACCTGCTATGTTTTAGGGATTGGGTTTAGGGTTTAGGATTGGGGGTAGAAGTTTGGTTCATTCATTTTGCGGCCTGCGGTGTGCCTGGACATGCCTGGCGGCTAGTACTAACACAGCACGGGGTGTGAAACATACATCGGATTTCAGACGGCTTCAGAA